TGCTCGTGGAGGAGTAGCTCCCTCTATCCCCAGGTTTTCTCTGGGACAGAAGTGGCTAACTTTCCATCCCCCTTCCAGTTTATTTTTGTCTCACTGCCTATGTTTTACCTTGCTATGTGATTTTTGTTTTTCTTTTTTGTTAACAATTGGATGTTTAGCTTTTTTTAATTTGTGAGTTATTTGCACTTCAATTAAAAACCTTTCAAATCAATGACTCAATGGCCATCTACGTGAACTATGTATGATATATCATTGATTCAAAGCAGAACAGAAAAGAATTATCTATAGAAACTCCATACTTCTATCATATAATTGCTGTATGTTTAGTGGTTTTATTGAGGTGTAATTCACATTAAATATACTGCACATATTTAAAGTACACAATGTGGTAAGTTTTCACATGTGTATTTCCATGTGAAACCATCTTCACGATCAAGATAATGGACATAGCCGTCGCCTCCAAAAGTTTCAGAGAATTTTTTCTCTGTACAGCTCTCTTTTCTAGTTGCCTTGATCTCCCCAGATTCTCACCTCCTTCACTTCAACTCAAGGAGTCTTCTGCCCTGTCCCTGAACTCCCCTTTCTTGCACTGTGACCCAGACACCTTCTCCAAGCAGTAAGCAGGGGCAATCATAGGACTCACCTCCTTGTTTCTTGTCTTTCAGGAATCACTGTCTGTATTTGTCTGCTATCCAATGCCTTGATAACCGTTGCTTTATATATTTTGTCCAATTCCTTAGTTGTTTAAGATGGGAGGATAAATCTTCTACCCGTTATTCCATCTTGACTAGAAGAGGAAGTTGCTGATAGTACTGTTGTTTGCTATAAAATTTGTACAGGGCAATAAAATTTCTGCTAATAAACTGTAGAAGAATGTTTTTCATAGATTTAGCAAGCAGAGTTGGAAAATAAATTCAACCTCCCAACTTCTTAAATTGCGTTGAAGGAATGGGACTATTAGGAAGATCGATATTCATTATAACAGCCTTTGAAGGAAAAAGGATGAGTTGAATAAAAGATTAGAAGTGTATGAATGAGGGGGCATGATTTCTGATTTCCTTTGCCCTTTCTCCATTTTCTTACTGTACCTTCTCTCCAATGTCTGCCCATGCTCCTACATTTAAACTTTACTACTCAACCCATCCCTCTACCCATTAATCCATTTATCAGATGCTACCGAGTACCAAGGACAAAATGAATTACAAGACAGGGAACCTCTTGCAAGGCACTCACATATAGTGGGTGAGAGTTCAATTATTGTAAAGTGAATAAAATGTTGAGGCAGTGTGGACAGTGGAGCCATTAACTTTGGGTGGGGCCAGGGAACAGATCAAGGAAGGCCTCTCCTGGGAGGATATATTTGAAATGGGTATTGAAGAATGAGTAGCATTTGGCTAAGCCAAGATGGGAGCGGGGAAGCATTTGAGAGAGAGGGGATGAGCCAAGCCAAGGTAAGTGTGGAAAGTGGGTTAGTCCTATTTTTAGAGTGGTGAAAAACTGATCATGGCTAAAGTCTAGGGGATGGTGGGGGGTGTGTGTGACTTGGTGGGACATTAGGCTGTAGAGGTGGTTGGGACCAGGCTAAGAAGAACTGTGAGTACTAAGCCAAGGAGTCTGAATTTTGATCTTCCAACAGCCTGAAGTTTCAGAGCAAGGAAGTGACATGATGAGATGTGGGTCCTGGACTCTTTAGGAGAGGAAGGTAGCAAGAGGGCTCTGCGGGGGGAGGCTGCTGAAGCTGTCCAAGGAAGGATATGAGTCTCTGAACACAGACAGGGAGGATGTAGACGAATTTGAGGGACATTCCTGCAAGAGAATCTGCAGTATACAGTGACCAGTTGCACACTAAGAATGAATAAGATGGAGACACGAGAATAAATGCCTCTCCGATTTAAGAAAATTGACAGTTATTGTGTCATTAACTAAGATGGAGACAGAAGGCAGAATAGGTTTGAATTATCTTTTAGTCTCACTGAGTTTGGGGCTTCTATGAACCATTCAAGTGGAAAATTATAGCAGCCAATTGGACCTTAAGAGAGGTTTGAGAATCAATGGCATACTGGCATAGTTAGAATGATCAAAATTGGTTTGATCACAGGACATAAAGTGACAAGAAAATAATATGGCATTCTTGTTATCTGAAAAACTTTAATGAAGAGTTTTGTACTTCAAATATCTATCAATCAAAAATATTCAGGCAGGCCAATATCTAAGTATCCCAGTGCAGGAGATAAAATTCAGTACAGTCACAGGATACAAAATTAACAGACAGAAATCAGTTGCATTTCTATACAACTAATAACAAGCTTTCAGAAAGAGAAATTAAGAAAACAATTACACTGAAAAGAATAAAATACCTAGGAATAAATTTAATCAAGGAAGCGAAAAATCTGTACTCTGAAAATGGTAAGACATTGATGAAAGAAATTGAAGACAACACAAATAAATGGGAACATATGCTATGCTCATGGATTAGAAGAATTAATATTGTTAAAATGTTCATACTAGCTGAAGCAATCTACAGATTCATTGCAATCCCCACCAAAATACCAACAAAATTCCTCACAGAACTAGAAAAAAGAATCCTAAAATCTGTATGGAACCACAAAGGACCCTGAATAGCCAAACCAATCATGAGAAAGAAGAACAGAGCTGGTTCAAACTGTACTAAAAACTTATAGTAATCAAAACAGTATGGGACTGGCATGAAAACAGATGCACGGATCAGTGGAATAGAATAGAGAGCCCAGAAATAAGCCCACACATTTATGGCCAATTAATCTCTGACGAAGGAGACAATGGGGAAAAGAACCTCTTCAATAAATGGTCAGGAAAACTGGAAAGCTACATGCAAAAGAATGAAACTGAACCTCTATCTTACACCCTACACAAAACTTAATTCAAAATGGGCTAAAGACTTGAATGCAAGACATGAAACCATAGTACTCCTAGCAAAAAAAAACATAGGCAGTAAGCTCTATGACATAAGCAATACTTTTTGGACCAGTCTCCTCAGGCAAGGACAACAAAAGCTAAAATAAATAAATGGGACTACATCAAACGGAAAGTCTTTTGCACAGTGAAGGGAACCATCAACAAAACGAAAAGGCAACCTACTGAATGGTAGACGATATTTGCAAATCATACATCCGATAAGGGGTTAATATCCAAAATATATAAATATATATAAAAATATATAAAGAGCTTACACAGCTTAATATAAAAGAAAACCAAACAACCTGATTAAAACATGGGCAGAGGACTTGAACAGACATTTTTCCAAAGAAGACACAGGTGGCCAACAGGTACCTAAAAAGATGCTCAACATCACTAATCATCAGGCAAATGCAAATCAAAGCCATAGTGAAACACCACTTACAAACCTGTCAGATTGGCTATTATAAAAAAAAGACAAAAAACCCCAGGTGTGGAGAAAAGAGAATCCTTGTGCACTGCTGGCAAGAATATAAATTGGTGCAGCCACTCTGGAAAACAATATAGAGGTTCCTCAAAAAATTAAAAATAGAACTACCATACTATCTAGTAGTTCCGCTTCTGGGTATTTATCTGAAGAAAACAAAAACACTAATTCAAAGAGATATATGCCCCACTATGTTCATTGCAGTGTTATTTACAATAGCCAAGACATGGAAACAACCTAGGTGTCCATCAGTAGGTAGATGGACAAAGAAAGTGTGGTATATATAGACAATGGAGTATTACTGAGCCATAGAAAGAAGGAAATTTTGCCATTTGCTACAACATGGATGGACCTAGAGGATATTATGATAAGTGGAATAAATCAGAGAAAGACAAATACCATATGATTTCACTCATATCTGGAATCTAAAAAACACAAGCAATGAACAAACAAAACAGAAACACTCATAGATACAGGAAACAAACTGTTGGTTACCAGAAGCGGGAGGGATTGGGGGATGGGCAAAATAGGTGAAGGGGATTAAGAGGTACAAACTTCCACTTATAAGGTAAATAAGTCATGGGGAAGTACAGCATAAGAAACATAGCAACAAGATTGTAATAACTTTGTATGGTACAGATGGTAACTAGACTTATCATGGAGATAATTTTGTAATGCATAAAAATATCAAATCATCTTTCTCTCTCTCTCTCTCTCTCTTTCTCTTTCTTTCTTTCTTTCTTTCTTTCTTTCTTTCTTTCTTTCTTTCTTTCTTTCTTTCTTTCTTTCTTTTTTTCTTTCTTTTTAAAGTAAGCTCTATGCCTAATGTGGGGCTTGACCTCATGACCCTGAGCACAAGAGTCCCATGCTCTACCGACTGAGCCAGCGAGGCGCCCCTCAATAAAATAATTTTTTAAAAACAAAACGCTTCAACTGAGAAGAAAATAATCTGCCATAACATTCTCTCAGGGAGCAAAGGGACTTAAGGTATTCTCATTAGCCCTCATGAATTTTAGAATTTTATGTGGCATAATAAGGTTCATCAGTGAAAATGAAAATATCAGACACGAGGGATATATCATCATAGACTTTCTAAGCAGTGATCCCTGGAATGTAAAAGTAAGACAGGAGGCTACAGGAGGTTCTCAGGAGTCAGTACTGAGCCCTTTTTCAAAGAGTTGCTATTTTAAGGTCAGCTCTGATTCAAATATTTCTGGTACTGAATAAACAGGGGAACTCGGGTAAGCCTGAGTCAGCTTCACACCCTCAACTGACTTCATCAACCAAGACACATTCTAACTCGGCCATTTTATGAGACTGTGAAAGTGAGATCTACTTGAGGAAGAAGTGATTTGGTTTGACCTTCAGGCAGTGGAAAAGAAAACACTTGTCGCTTCAGGAGCACTTCCTCAGAGGAAGCCCTGCCTCAGAGAGTCAAAAGCCACTGGCATTTCCCAGGCTCCTGAAATGTCAGAAATATTGGCTCTCACATTTGTATTCATGAGGACTACATGTTTGAGCATCACTGGCGGGCAACTCTGTTAGTCTGAAGCTCTTATCAAGTTCTTTGTTTCCTTAGCTCTCCTGGTCCAAGATGAGCCGTCGGTGTCATATGCTGTGAGAAGGCTCCTGGAAACTCCCTTCTCCAAAGCTACAAGATGTGTGTGGAGAGAATGGAGAACCAGTTCCCTAAATCTTAATCCAGTCCCCCCGGACCTGGCATGGTCTTATTACTCTATTCCGGAGTCAGATATCCCACACTGTGATCACTGAGACAAGATTTGGTGGGTTTTGTGTCTTTCAGGGAAGTAGACAACATCAAGAAACGTCTTCCTCTGGTGCCACCTGATATGAATGATTCTTAAAGGCACCACGGATTACAAAATGGCCAAGATTTGCAAACACGCATTTTAAAATAAGTTTTCTTCTTTCTATCACTGGAAGCAATGCCAGCAGGTAGAAAATAGGCCATTGTCAAGTCTCTTCAGGAACCTCTGGGCTTGCAAACACAATCCTGGAAAGAGAGTGTTGTCACCCATTCTAGAATAATTGCAGGGTATTTGATAAGGTAGAAGTTGACCTTCAAAGAGCTTAAATATTCTTGGGAAGTGGAAACTGTTCTGGAATCCATGGCTTTCTGGATTCAGGGAAAAGAGTGCTTAAAAAAGATGGTGGATGAACAGATATAAGCCACACCTAGAGATAGATGCCCAGTGCCCAGCTTCCACATGAACTCTTTGGTTGAAATGCACAGAATGCCCCGTGGAGTAACAGCCTTGAGTCATTTTGTATCCAAAGTAAACTCTGGGTAATGAGGAGTCACCTTAAGGGTATGGTGCAGAAGGTTCGGGACAAGGAGTTTCCCCTCAAAAGATCACCACCCTTGTCCCAAACTGCTACTGATCCTTAATCTCCTACCACCAGTCGCTCCCCACCTTCCCTCCTCTTGGGGTTTATGGAAGAAAAACAGGTGCTACCACCAGGTTGTGAATTAATTAACCAAACTGGTTCCCTAGTTAATATCAGGGCCATCGGTCTCCTCTATGATTTTGTTTATTTATTATTTGGCTACCTTTGGGGATCCCTGATGCGTGATTACCCTAGAAGTGAGAATACCTTTTAATACACTACTTTTTGCGACCATTGTCTTAGGTATTTACTATGTGCCAGGTTTTGTGCTAGGCATTTAATGAACATTATTCTCATAAAAGATCATGAGACATGGGTATGTCTATTTTACAGATGAGGAAACTAAGAGTCCCTGAGGTTAAATGACCTAACCAAGGTCCCTGAGACTCGAACCTTGGCCTGTGTAACTCCACTGTCCTATTCTGCCTACACTTCATTATATCTTTAAGCAGTCATAATAATGTTTTTCTCCATACTTAATGATAAAGCTATGGCTCCTCCTCAAATAACTTTTAAATGGTTTTCCACTAGTGTTTAGGGGTTCATACTCATTCATTATCACTGTTTAATTCAGTTTCTGGTGGGGCCAACTTTCTCCCTTGTTCACCTGGACGTGCCTTTTGCTCCAGCCAAACTAAAATATGTCATGTTCTCATACACCCCGCCCCCCCACTTTCCAGTGCGTATTCTTTTGTGAGAGCAGAAAGGTGGGCATGGTGGGTAGCTAGGACTGCATGGTGTTCATCTTCTGCTCAGTGTTGAGGCAGATAGAAGCCGAAGACATTGTTTTAAGGATGCTGTGTGCGACATGAGGCACGCAACATAACTTCGTGTCTATGTGTATGACCCCGGAGGGCAAAGGGCCGCTCTCCCCATTTCTCCATAGAATTAATAAGTCCTCAATCCCAGGAGTCAGAAGGGACCATGATGCCAACATGGCCTCCACCATAGTGGCTTTGGGTGCACTGGAGATAAAAAGCCTGGGCAGATACACCATATTCCCAGAGGGGGTGGTGGCTCTGCAGAGTGGGCATGACTGGGGTGCTTCTCCTTTCAAAACACTGGATAAAGAACAGAATGGAAGAATAGGAGAGTACAGGGCACAAGCACATGTAAAACACCCTTTTGAGGTCCTAGAAGTGGCTGCAGTGACTTGGAAGGGAGACGGCTCCGGGGCTGAGGACATTTTCCAGAGTTATAAAAGAAATACAGGTGATCGCTATTTTGTGATCCCACCCCGATTTGCACCGTCCAGCTAGTGGGATTTGGACAAGGTTGCGGGATAGTTCATTCATTTGGGAAGCCCGTATCAAATACCTCATATTCGCCAGACATGGTACAAAGCCCTGAAGACCCTGAACAAATAAGACCCCGGCCCCGGCCTCTGAGGACTTACATCATGATAGCATGTCTACTTCTCATCCCCACAAGAGGTTTTTGTACGGGATATGTCTTCAATTTTTGCCCTAGGATGGCCACCCTGAACACACCGATTGTGTCCTGCATAGAGAATATGACGTCAATGGCAGCCCCCTGAGTTGTGTATTGCACAATGTCATGTGATGGCCCTGTTGGCCCACATACGCTTCACCTAAAATACCATCCCCTGCAACTTTGTCTTCCAGCTCCTTCCAGAAGAATCTCTGATCTGAATTCTCCTCTCCATCCTCACCTCCTCTCTTGACCACAACCCCCAAGGTGTTCTTCTTTCCTCGGGCCTCCTTTGGCCTATTCCTTCTGCGATGGAACCTGAAAATTAGACGGGGCCTCCCTGATCCCTTTCTCGTTCAATATTTTCTCATACTATTATTTTAGCCCTGTGTTCTTGTTTAGCTTTTGGCGAGGCTGAATCTTATCTCCTTGCATGTGTTTCAGCTGCAAGGGTAGGAAATGTGTCATATCCATCTTTGTGTCTCCCTACAGGAATCGCACATAATTGAAATTCAATAGGACAAAAGAAGAAAGTGCTATTTAAAATGAGAGACCTTTTAAAGAGTGAAAGATGCCAGCTGAAATGGAGTGTCTGTGACAAAAATCTTCAGTCAATACGTTTTTCAAATTCTTTCAGTTGTTGACTCTCAAATATTTATGCTAATGACAACCAGGAAAAGCACAGATTTTGGAAACGTACCAAACCCAAGACTACTTCTAGCCAACTAATTCTTTTCACCAAACTTTCTGCAAGAACATCTAATAAGAAGAGGCTCGGATACCACTGACCCCCTGCAATTCTCCCTTGAGGAGTCAAGCGTGGTTTTTTTCTCAGGTTCAGACCACTAGTGGGAGGTCCCAAGTATGGTGATCTGAGGGTAGAGGAGAAAGGGAGGAAGATGAAGATGGGAAGAAAAAAAAAAAAGCAAAGGATCTGAAAATTAAAGAAAACCTATACTTAATTGTTGATGTAGAGCTTGGATTTAGAAATTTAGACAAGATCAGCTAAGGTTATTTCCAATTAATTACTTAAGTAATTTTATCCTTATAAAGAATCTCCAAACAGAACACTGTTTGCCTTCTGGTATTTTATTGAAGCTCAATATGCTTTAGTTGACATAAGAGGCTGGAATGCTCTGAAACTCTGACTAAGGGGATGGCCTCCCTGGGCAATTTAAGCTTCCTTTCTCATTCGTAACCTCAACCACAAGGTTAAACTGGCACCCTGTTCTTTTTTAATTTCATGAGTAAAAAATGCACTGAAAACCATCCCTCTAGCCAGAATGAGTGATATTTCCTCCACATCTACTTTCTGACAAATAGTACATCCTAAACCAGGTAGCTGACTAAGTCCTTAGTCACAGAAACAGAAGTTTTTCATCTGAAGTCAGTCTCTCACTCTCTGAGTTGGCCAGGCTGCCCCATCTGCTCTGGGACACTGGAACCCCATGAGTCAATTAGAAACCTAACTTCAGGGGAGTGGGATACTCAGAGAAAAACCCCAGCATCCTGTACCCTCTGAAGGTAACCACACTGGGACATGTAAGCAAGAAAATGCAAATAGTTTGACATAAACTAAGAACTAGTAGCCTCTGTGGTCTGATACGACGGAGCCTGGGAAGACCCTAATGTCACCTTCCCCCACAGGGCTGTGGCCTTCTGAGGTAAGGCTCTAATCCCCCCTCAAAGGTCAAGTGATTAAGGCCCCTGCAACGTTGTTAGTTACATCTTCATGTGCCTGTAGAGCCTAAAAGAAGGTTTGGAGAGAGGGAGAGGGAGAGAAGAAGAACAGTGTGTTTTAGTGGGTACATGTCAGATTCTAAAGCAGAATCTTGGAGAGCTGGGTGCCTTTGGGAAAGTTATTTTGCCTCTCTGAGCACTATATATATATATATATATATATATATATATATGCACAGGGTAGTTGATCGGACTCAATGATTTTGCCTCCCTCTGGCCTTCCCTCCTTCCTTTCTTCCATTCTCTCTTTCCTTTCCTTCTTTTAAAAAAAATTATTTATTTATTTGAGGGAGAGAGAGAGACAGAGAGTGGGGAATGGGGAGGGGCAGAGGGAGAGGGAGAAGCAGACTCCCTGCTGAGCGCAGGGCTCCCTCTCATGACTCTGACCCTGAGAGCCTGACCTGAGCCGAAATCAAGAGTCAGATGCTTAACTGACTGAGCCAGACAGGCACCCCTCCTTTCCATCTTTTCTACAAGTATTTGTTGAGCCCCTGCTATGGCTTTGTTCGAGGCATTGGGAATATGACTGCAAACAAAATAGGCGAAGTCGCCATTCTGTGTAGGTTACATTCTAGTGGGGGAAACATAACAAATACATAAATGGATACATAATACAGACAGTCCTCACTTTGCATTGTTCTGAGATACATGAGTGTCAGTCACCATGGGTTAGTTAACAACAGTCCCCCAACAACATAGCTCAGATTTCAGTCACCACCCTATATTAATTATGAGTAATTGCATAAATTACTCTCCAGTCCACCAGTTGCTATGATCCCCAAGTGACAGGTGCATGTTATGGTCAGTGACCCAATCACATCTCTTCTTTTCAAAGTCAGACGGTGACTGCCCACTGCTCATCTTTATTCAGGTCACGCAAGGACAGTAAAGCATGTAGTTGTGCTGCCTTCTCATTTACCAGTGGTAGAAAGATACTACAGGCAAGGTCATTCAACTTTTAAAGCACTACTGCTCGGGCCCCTGGGTGGCTCATTCAGTTAAGTGTTTGACTCTTGATTTCAGCTCAGGTCATGATCTTGGGGTCCTGGGCTTGAGCCCCACAATGGGCTCTGTGCTCAGCCGGGAGTCTGCTTGAAGATTCTCTCTCCCTCTCCTTATGTACTTCCCCTTGCTCACTCTCTCACTCTCTCTAAAATAAATAAAAGATCTTTTTTTTTTTTTTAAAAAAAGCACTACTGCTGTTGGATAATGCTCTACGTCACCCTGATTGTCTTGAACTGAAAATGTGAGAATTTGCTTTTTATAACCAAACACAACTTCATTAGTCCCTTCAGTGGACGATGGAGTTATTTCAACTTTTATTTTTTTAATTTATCTTATTTTTTATTATTTTTTTATTTCAACTTTCAAACCCTATTAGATGGTCTTTCAGAGAGGTTATTGATACTACAGCTGGGGAGAGAGAGACAGACAGACATTTGCAAAGGCACATTTAGGAGGCTAAATGAATAAAGTGATTGTGACTCATGATGAAAAAGAGGAGGGTGTCCCAGAGGAAGGCACACCAGCAAAAAAGTTCACATTAAAGGAACTCTTAGTGATTTTTCATGGCACTGAAAATGCAAAGGGAAAAACGTTGGAAGCTGATCCAAACTTAGGAGTATGGCTGTTCACCAAGGACTATCAATAAGGTTGTCTCCCTGTCTTAAGTTTTACCGTGGGAAGAAGGAAGCAAACACTGCTCAAACTACTCTTTATACGTTTTTAAGTTGTGGTAAAACCTACATACCATAAGGTTTATCATTTTAATCATTTTTAAGTGTATAGTTCAGTGGCGTTAAGCACATTCACATTGTTGTGTTACCATCACCACCCTCTATCTCAAGAACTTTTTCATCATCCCAAACTGAAACTCTGTGCCCATTAAGACTAAGTCCCCTTTCCCGCTTCCCCACCCCGCCCCTGGTAGCCTCTGTTTTACCTTCTGTCTCTATGAATTTGACTATTCTGGGTAATTCAGGTTAAGTGGCATTATACAATATTTGTCCTTTTGGGTCTGACTTATTTCCCGTAGCATAATGTTTTTAAGATTCATCCGTGTGGTAGCATGCATCAGAACGTCTGTTTTAAGGCTGAATGATATTCCATTGTGTGTATATACCGCATTTTATTGATCCCATTGGGTTGTTTCCACCTTTTGGCTGTTAAGAATAATGCTGCTGTGAATATCGGTGTGCAAATACCTGTTCGAGTCCCTGCTTTTCATTCTTTCTGGTATAAACCTAGAAGTGGAAGTGGGATTGCTGGATTATAGGATAATCCTATGTTTACTTTTTTGAGGAACTGCTATGCTGTCTCCCACAGTGGCTGTACCATTTTACATCTCCCCAGCAATGCACAAGAGTTCCAATTTTTCCACATCCTCTCTAGCACTTGTTATTTTCTATTTCTTTTCTTTCTTTCTTTCTTTTTTTTCTTTTTTTGACAACCGCCATCCTAATGGATTTGAAGTGGTAGCTTGTTGTGTTTTGATTTGTATTTCCACAGCAGTTAATGATGTTGGGCACCTTTTCATGTGCCTTTTGGCAATCTATCTTCTTATGAGAAATATCCATTCAACTGATAGGTTTTCTACAAAATAATTTAACATTTTATTTAAAACATTTTTTAAAAGTAAGCTCTAGGGGTGCCTGGGTGGCTTGGATGGTTGGGAGTCTGCCTTCGGTTTAGTTGTGATCTCCAGTCCTGGGATGGAGCCCCGCGTCGGGCTCCCAGCTCGGTGGGCAGCCTGCTTCTCCCTCTCCCTCTGCCTCTCCCCTGCTTGTGTGCTCTCTCTCTCTAATGAATAAATAAAATCTTTAAAAAAAAATAATCTCTACACCAAACGTGGGGCTTGAACTCATGACCCCAAGATCAAGAGTCGTGTGCTCTACTGACTGAGCCAGCCAGGCACCCCAAGAATAAAACATGTTAATTCTCAATATTCTTAATGTTTTAAATTACAGTGTAGTAAATAAGTATTCATCTTAGAGTTTTTAAAAAATTTTTCTATAGGTTTATAACCAACAATAGGAGAGTTTTTAATATTTTAGTGGTCATTCATGGAGCAATCGTAATTTCCCCCATTTATTATTATTTGTTTAAAGATTTTATTTACTTATTTGACAGAGAGAGAGACAGCGAGAGAGGGAACACAAGCAGGGGGAGTGGGAGAGGGAGAAGCAGGCTCCCCGCGGAGCAGGGAGCCGGATGCGGGGCTCGATCCCAGGACCCCGGGATCATGACCTGAGCTGAAGGCAGACGCTTAATGACTGAGCCACCCAGGCGCCCCTTCCCCACTTATTATTAAGAATGTTTTGCATGGTTTCAGCTTGCCCAGCTACTTTTATGGTCTCCCACTATCCCGCAAAGTGAGGATTTCCTTTGGAGTGTTAGATTAGTGATAAGAAATATGAAAATGAAGCAGGATGAGGGGCTAGGGAGAGATGGACTGTGATGGGAGAATGGGCTGTTTATGCTGGTTGTCAGGAAATGCCAGTCTGGGAAGGTGAAATCTGAGTAGAGGCCTAAATGCAGGAAGGAAGTCAGCCATATCCCTGCCTATGTGAGGAACATTCCAGGCTTGGGGAATAGCAGGGCCGAGAGCCCTCAGATGGGAGCCTGTTTGGACTGGACTGAGAAATAGCAAAAGCGTCAGTGTGGCTGGAGCACAGTGATGGAGAGGGAGAGTGGTAGCAGATAAGGATGAAAAGGTAGACAGGGGCCAGTTCATGTAGGGCCTTGTTGCCCATGGTATGCACTTTGGATTTGACTCTGAAGTCCCGAGAAGCCATTGGTAGGGTGGAAGTCAGGTCATGTTAGTGCACAGGGCATCTGATTGGTTAGGGGTGAGTTCCTCTCAGGGAAGAAAAAGAGAGATTAAGGATACTAAAGATTCACTTCACCTACTTCATAATTTGTCTAATGGCCAGTCTTGGCTTGACAGTGAGGAGAGATAAAAGACTTCTGGAGACTAGGACCTACTCATAGTTTTAATGAGCATTCTTCCGTACCAAGGAGGTCTCTCAATTCTTTCAGTCTCCCTGAGAGCCTCCTGGAATTTTCTCAAGAGGTTTTCAGGACAAGATGCATCTCCCCCAGGACGTGGAAGACAGAGGGATCCTAGTAAGCAGAACCGTCAGTGGACATAAGGGCTCTCAGATTTCCAGAGAAGCAGCAGCCAGA